GGAATCTGACATTCCTAATTTGTTTCAGCTGCGCTTTCCTAATTGTATATCATATAATGTTTACTTTTCAAGCAGCTCTGCATTCCAAAATCATATTACTTGGTGCATTGCGGAAAGCTAAATTTCATAACAATCTGAAAACGCATCACAGATTAATTAACATCTATTTTTCCTATTGCTTTATGGTTTTATGAGGTCGGTATGAAAAAACCCCAGAAAATTCAATTCAATTTACCAAACCAATAATACCTAAAATTCATATTCTTACCCTGAATTTAAATGATAACTCATATTGAGTTTTCAAAATCCAATGATTCCTGATCGTTTTCTAGTTACATTATATTACATTACTACTCTCTGTAATTCTGTAATTGACTTTCTGTGCTCCAAAATATTTTAAAATTTCCCAGAACGTTCGTATTTAACTAGCAAAATATATCTTGGCCTATATCCTCTAATTAATGCTTAAATTTCCAGATTATCAACATTTCATTGATTTGAAAGGTGAAATTTAACATAATCTATAGCTAATAATAAAATAAAACGTATCTAAATTATTAGAAAATAATTTGTGATTAAAACATACAGTGACTAGTGTTGAATAATAAAATGTTCAAAATACCATAATTTATACTATAACTAAAACTGAAACGTAATATATTTAAAGTTATTGCAAAAAGCAGCCAACAAACGAAGTAATTTCGTCGACAAACGAAAATTGAATGCAGAATGTGGTTCAATAATTAAAAGCAAAACTGAGTTGTTAATCTGTTTGTACTTGGCATTGTACGGTAAAATTGAACATTGATCGAGTTCCAAAAACGTTATTTACTATAAAATTCACAGATATGTTATAGATTTCATAAGTAAAACCAACAATTCATAAAAGTGCTCACTAATTAAATCAATAATTCTATTAGTTAAATAAGAAATAGTTGATCGGAATAATGGCAAGCTTACTCGAAACGAGAGGAATGGGATTGAAACATAAAAACCCAAGTTTTTCCAGACGAATCAATTTAACGGCTTAGTTATTTCCACCCAGAGCGAAAAAGACGCAAACAATCACACTTTGCACACACGAAAAGGTTTATAGAACAGTATAAATGCCAATCAAAGGAAAATTAAATACTGAACTTAATTAATGGTGTAGTTTCTAGCCTGATACCATTATGCTCCAAGTTGACTAAGCTCCTGTTTTAATTTTAATTAAGTTTATTGCTGTACCGCAACTGATAAACTATTTCAAGCATTTAATTTGTGAATTTTATGCCCGCCTTTTTTTATTAAGTTTTTTTTAAGTTTAACTATTTTTATCTCAATAGACAATATATTTTTAATGTTTTAGGCATTATTTTAAGTGCTAATTTCAAGTGCAGCGTCGGTATAAGAAGGTATATATCAGAGCCTTAACTAAAAAGCTGCTATATTTTTATTTTAAAAATGATCGGCGGTTGAAGTGAAAAATCTACTTCCATTATTATTACTAATGCCACTATTACTTGAGCTTTTTCATATGAAGTGCACTTTCATGATGATTGACCTAGCGAAAGCTTTTACCTACACTTATTGTGATCAATCATATTCCTTACAGAAACATTTTTTTCCAAATATAATTTTCGTCTGCGGGAAATTGCATTATTTGCATCGTTCCGACGGAAGGGAACCTTCATGGAAGAAAGAAATATCAATTCGATTTCAATCGTTTATCTGACTTGCTTCTGAAAACAATCATATATCTTGACAAAGAATGTTAGCTAAAATACACTAACTAAAGACCGTAGCATCCGTTTGTTTTCAATTGATGAAATGGTAATTTTAAAATATAATTCATTTTATTTGTTAATACGGCTAATTTTTTAATTTTATATACTGAACTATGCCTTGCAATTAACACCAATTAAATTTTAGATATGAAGTGTTATTAAAACAGAAAGCATTCCAATACTGCCCTTGATTGTTTAAGACAACAATTATTAATTAATAAACATATGAATAGTGCCAGTTTCAAATTTTAGTTAACAAGTTCGACAAGAATACATCATTTAAACCACAACAAATTATATATTCTGCAGTAAATGCAGCTGCACCATCAAACGATTTAAATTAATGCAAGCAATCGATTAAAAATGGAAAATGTCTATTCTGCTTTTCTTCCGTGTTCGCAATTTATAGGCGACTTAATGGAAATATCTACCTTCATTATTATTAGTAATATCTTTCAGACCTAAGCCTTTCTGTGGGAAATGTGCTTTCATTATTTATCTAGGAAAACGTCATTAGTTCTGGAACAATTAACCATAGTTGATCACTATGACGGTTTTCATGGCTTATTAGGTCGCTCAAAATGAACTTTATCGAAAACAATTAGGTATACAAAATTCGATTTTAAATTATCAAAGGACTTCAGTGATAAAGAGGTTTTTTAAACACATTTTCTGTTCCTAATCGTATTTTGGTGTCTGTTTGTTTCCATTGCTTACCAAAAACATAACTAAATTATGCATCAAAGGAATGATATAATGTTCTATCCAATCCCGGATGATTGTGCATCTGTTGCATAATGCGTCCATTTTGCTCCGAAACTATGCAGAAAATTGCATAGTCTGGTGTAACAAACGCGATTTCGCAGAAGAAGCAATTTAACGACAAGTTGTTTCCATCTGAGATATAAAAGAATTTCGGGAACAAATGGCACTATAAATTATATAAAAAAATTCATGAAGAAGTATGAAACTTTGTTAAACTGGAACTAAATTCAAATCTTACAAATGTTTCACTTGGCTAAGAGGGATTATCAGTTTGAAGTGGTTGTGCATAAAATAGTACATGTATCATTTTTATTATAACCAACATGAAACATTGTATAATATAATTTTAGTGTTCCATTATCAAAAACATACACATATATTCGTCAGTCGCTTTAGAATAAAGTAATGTTCTTTTTGGCAAACAGTTAACACAAAGTAATATTTCTGTAAAAATTTAGGTTTACAAATATTAACGAAATAATTCATATTTTATCTGGTTGCAGGAAAACTATGTAAACCCTTTTCTGCATAATGAAAAACTATAGCAATAAACCTCGGATTGCTGCAAACAAAACAATGAATGTAAGAAAAAATGTAGAAATTTTCATAGAAATATGAAACACGCCACAAGAACATATCGCATGTGTATGCAAGATTCGTCAGAAAACAAACTTTGGTTCAGGTTGAAATGGATGGAACTTTGAAACAAATTTAATATTTGAAATGATGAAAATAAAATACGAAAAACAGCGTCATTCATATGTTATTTTCTGTAAATACGGCGATTTTTTTTTTTTAAGTGGAGAAAGCATTCAAAACTAAATTTAATTTGGAATTACATAGAATAAATACTTTTTTGATGAAATTTTACAAACTCTTACTGCATGAAGTTTCTTGATGATGTCTATATGTACAAAATTCCGTTAATATCAATGGTGATAAAGTTTAATTGACTTCTTTGAATAAACTTGAAAATTTGAAGGAAATCGTATATCAAGATATCGCGTCTGCCAATATTAGAACTTAATTGTTATTGATATAAGTAGAGGCAAATTTCGAGATGTGCTAATGTCAGAAACCCCTGAAGACTTTTCGACTCTTTTCGGTCATATCAGCTGGGTTTAGCCGTAAAATGTCTCTCCTGAAACATGTTGCACCATTGTTGCGTTCATTGCGCCCATGTGTTTAATTAATTAACGAAACATTATTTAATCTAAAATACATTAATTTACAAAAACAATTAAATGTTTTCAAAGTATGTTTATTTACCATTTCTTTCAATAAAAATTTTGATAATTATAATTCTCACAAAACACTAAACTTTTGTCAAGCATGAATAAAATAATATGAATGAATGCATGCACTGACTTTCATAAATTACGTGCATTCTACAGGAAACGCATACTGGTTGTAAACGTCCAAAAAAATAGTCACATGGCTTCTCACAAAACCAGTGGTTTTTCCAAATGAACGATCATAAAAGTAGATTTTTTAATAAAAATCCAAATAGACTAAAGTAATATTCTTAAAATTGAACGATACATTATTTCTAATGTTTCCTGCTAGCGCATGGACAGTTTCACGTTATGGATTAATATCCCACGACCATACATTTGCGAAAAGTTATGAAATAACTTTGCAGAAACAACCGACCCTTCCACATGAACGATTATCTATTAAATCGAATAATCCAAGTTTATGACTAGTTCGCGATACGAAATTATTGGAAACGCTATAAACTTTAGTAATAAAAAAGTAGCAATTTAGTAGCGAGTGAAAAAACCGTTTCATTTTATTTTACTCTGAAAGCATTAGACGTTTTGGGAAATTTACAAAAAACAATGCATTTACTGCAAAAAACAAGGATTATAAGTGTATGTATATTTTTCTTCGGATGCATATCCAGCAGTGTTAAAGCTGGTATTAATGGCATTATTAGCTGAAAGTACTAGAACGTACCAATAAATGGAAAATATTTATTGGTACAGCTCGTATTGCTATCAAGTCTATATATCATATCTCACTTTTAATAAAAGTTATGGCAAAATCGCAATCAATTTTCCTATAATATTGGCCAATCCAGCGAGCTATTCGCAAAGATTATAAAACAAAATCCGAATGAATGGGCTATTATCAATTGAGGCTTTGAAAAGATAAAGTTTAAATTGCAGCCAGCGTTCGAGCCAGTCAAAACGATAAAGCCAAATAGTGAATTATTAAAATCACGCCTTTTTTATTTGAAAATAAGTGTGGTTTTAAGCGAGCGAACTTATTGCTGATTTTGTTCGAAAGCCAGATGCATAGATTGGGCAACAAATGCCGCAAAAGGAACGGATATTAGGCCCCCAAAAAAAGCGTCGTAATGTTTCGTCAAGCTGTTACAAGTTCAGCGAGCAGTTTTTCAACCGTAAATGGTTTACTGACTTTGAAGTAATTTCCAGAAGATTATGAAAAAAGTTACAAGTATACCTCACAGTCTGCTTTGCTTAATGTTTCCTTTAAGTGTGGTTTCTTTTGTGGCGTGTGGATGTTCAGCACTGCTTTTAGACCTAACTCCAATGTTTCATCCGTTTCTGAATGGTTTGCTGATGTTGACCGTTTGATAATCTGAAGAGTGATAAGATTCGTATCAGATTGTGTGTTGGTTTCAAATTAGGTGTCTCTTACATCATGTAGAATTGGATTAATATGCATGATATTATGGGATGTACAGTACAGATTTAAATCGTGAAAATCTGAGATCATCTTCTCATGGAAAAATGCAATGATTAATCAAAGAAATGAAGACTTCATCAAAACTCAAGAATAGCAGAAGAAATTATAGGTTTATTGACAAGATTAAGTGATAACATTGCAATAAACTTGCGGTGGTGAATTAAAGTATTTCGATAGCTTTTTGAGCACTGCTGAAATAACTATTTTGTTTGCTGTTGGGAAGTTGGGAAGAAGTAAAATATATATTTAATTTATTTGGATGCTTTAATTTTTTGCTTTTATTGCGGCTGCTGAACTTTACATACTAAATAAGCTGGTTTTGTGTATCAGACTTTGTTGTATCTCAGACTATTCCAGAAATATTTAAAGGAAAGGCCTGTCTGTTTTCTAAGAAAAGCAACACGTTTAAATCCCGACAGTTTTGTAAGAAAACAGACTTTTGCTGTAAAGAGTTTCATAAAATTGACTACAGATTAGCCATTACTACAGTTGTAGAACTGATCTCATTTGCAATCAGTTACTACAGCTATTACTTCCTGAGCAAAACTATGGGAAGTACAGTAAGTGGGGAAACGTATCAAAAACATCAAAACGTTTCTGTTTTACTTCTTCACATAAAAAAAAATATTTAAATGCTTCTTAATTAATATTTTACCTATCATTTTGTAGGTTTGTTTAAGAATGCAGATATTAAGTAGAAATACAATCTTAAAAGCACATGTTTTATTTTCCATTATTTTCAAAGCATATGCTTTTCTGGATGTTTCTATTATTTTAGTTTTATCTCTGTTATAGTGAAGAAGAAATAATGTTCCACAATCCATACCGTTCTTGAAAAATGCAAGAGTTTTCCAGTTATGCGTGATAAATTACCCAACTAGTGCGGTCAATAACTGTCTACATTTGCAATAAAGTGCCCATTTCAGTTCAGTTTAGAGAGCTCTCCTCTCGACCTTTTCGTAACCTTTTTATTAATTATGTTATCTTAGTAAACTAACACATCCTTGCACGCTATAATACGAAATTATCTGCCAAAATCTGATATTGTGGAAAATAAGTTATCCATCAGAGACAAAATATCGTGGAAATTATGCTTCTGAAATATTTATAGTATTTTATGGAACACACAAGATGTTCCATAAAATACATTGGATGATATTGCCGATAAAAGTTAATAAATTTCGTTTTATTAGCGACTACTAATGTAAAAACTGTTGAAAATTATTTTAAATCTTTTTGTGCCTCTTATGGGAGGAGCCTTCCTTCCCTCCTTCCTTCCTTGAATAATTTCATTTCTAAGCACAGTGGTTTATTCTTATTATGAAAATGATTGCTTCAAACTACCTAAATATATGACTTTATGCATAAATGAGAGTGTAACACGGCTGAAAACAGTAGCCCTTCTAAGTGTTCCTTAAAGCTTATTTAGGCCGCATTAAGTCTATGAAGTTTGCAAAAATATATAAATATAAAATATATAGCTTTTTTAATTTCATTCATAATTCCCACAACTTAAAAGTTTTCCGAAATATCTATTAATAAGGTTATCTACTAGTCAGTACAGTGTTCCTACCCTTTTTATTTTTAATAAATTTGTTTGTTTTTTATTTACCTTCAACTAAAAAAAGTTAGATTCAGTGATCCAAAGTATACTTACTTAGAATTCTTATATCTTCTTATATATTCTTATATCAATTTTCCAATTTTTACATGAATAAATAATTTCCTGCCTTTCGCATTTCTCCGCCTAATTTATATACTAAAATGGTTTTTTGCCACAAACGATACTCTTCCTTGACTAAAAGTCTAAAGAAGACAAATCTGGTGGGCCAGAGGGAAAACTGAATAACTTCCCCCAAAAACTGTTTAAAGCGAGTTTTGTAGTACTCGACAATCCATATGAAGCAACTCTACAAGATCGAAAAAGTTAAAAGATTCCAATTACCTTCTGCATCTAATAGCTGGACTAGCACTCATTTGCCATAATTAATGCAAAAATTGCTTTCCCAGAAAATGAACTCTGGATGGTTTGCAGAATCACTTTTTAAAACAATGTGATTCATCATATTCTTCTGGTTTTGTAATAACGTTGTCTTAAAATGCGGGTTTAATAAGTCGCTAACATCCATCTAATGGACTTTTAATTAATCACTCTTGTCATCTGAACAGTATTTGGCGTAATCCTTACGAACTTAAACTTAATAAAAACTATAACATATTTATAAAACATTATATTCATATTCAATCTGCTGATGACCTATGAATACGATTTAAATATCTTAATTAATCTTTTAAATCACTTGCTTTTGGGTCTGTATTACAATTTTACATAAAACTTTGCTATTTGAATATATTTGTAAAATATCATTTTAAATTTGATCGAAACCGTCCAGTGTGCTAGAATAATGGCCATATTTATAAAACAGGAATTATTCATGTCGTCTAAAAATGAATTAAACATCGCTTTCACGCCAAAAAGTTACGTGAAAATAAAAAGTATCGTTACATTTACATAACATTTATTAGTAGCGCGGTGCACGATTTTTTATTTATGCATTATGTACTACTGCAAGCTTACAGTAGTACAATAAAACACTAGACAGATTACATAAATCAGTAACTAAAAGTAATTTTCACATTAAAATGATGACTTAAAGCCAAACAGAAGTGGGCTATTTGGAAACCAGAAGCTTACATAACCAGAATGATATTAAACATATGTAGCTAATTAATGAAACACTTGACAATTATGATTTAGCTGACCGCTGTCTTACCAGACATGAAATAAAACAGAAAATTATATAATATAATGATTGCATACTTAAATGTGAATGAAAAACACCAAATGCTTGCCAGAAATAATTTCAAGTTTACTTTTCTGATAATGATCGTTTCTAACAACTATAAAAAAATCCAGAATAACCAAATTAAAACCGAATGTTTCTGGTTTCAGCCTTGCAATAAAACAACAAAGCTTTTAGTTTTCATAGAAATTCTTCTCATTTCTATACTTTAGAGCTCCACAAATGCTCTTTACGATTTAAGATTTATTATGCAATGCTGATAGTTCAGTTCAGTTATATCTGTCCATTTTAACAAAAGCAACTCCGATTTTTTTACACTGGTGATAAATATAATGATGAGAAATACGTGCATATTCCTAACCAAAGCAGTTTGCTGCAATAAAAAAAATATAGCGTTTGCAAATATTAGTTGTAATATTTTCAACTCAAAACACTTACTGTTAGCAAACGATCAGCTGGAAAAAGTAATTTATTTAAAAAACATCCCTTGGAAAATAACGCTTGTATAAAATCCGTCCAAATAAAGAACCCGTGCTTTAATTATTTTTAAACCTTAATCAAGTCGCAGTCAGAATTTCGTTGATTTGAGCATATTCCACGGATTTTTAATAACGATGTCCTGACAGCAAAATTAACGAGAATTTCATTTTTGACTTCATTTTCAAGGGTCGAACATAATTCGATTATTTACAGTTCATTTTTAAAGGCAGGTATTTTATAACTCCGGAATTCATAAAATTGATTTTGCGTGTTTAATAATGTACAATAAGTGTGTAAATTATTAATTATTTCTAACGGAAAAGTTTCACTTTTTTAAACATAAACTTTCCTGAAATGTTAGAAGTTTTGTAAATTAAGATTAGGAGAAAAATGTATGACGTTTCACTTGGAAAGCGAAGTCTTTCTATTCAAATGTAATTTAATAATTCTTAAATCAATGCGATATTTAAAACAGAAACAAAAAGATGGAAGAACCGATAAATTCCATGCACATGTGAAAAAGCTCGCACGGTTTAATCAAGTGAGATATAAAACCTTCATATCCGTATTTCAAGCATTTCCTATTGTCTGAGAGAAAGTTTAAAAGGTTTAAAATCTTCAATGTTTAAATTAATTCCATGCTTAAAACAACATTTTAAGTTCGTAATTTTAAAGTAAGCAAAGATAAGTTAAAGTTCAACTCGCTGCTCGTTTTTCAGAGACGCCAGGCAGTATAAAATGCTTTAAATTTTCCTATCGTAGTGAAAATTTCTCTGGCAAAATGAAAATCTTTAAAATATTCGGTTAAACATAAATACTAGACTAAAGTTGCAGCAGCACAGCTGGCCAAAGTTGGGAAACTCATTTAACCAATTAGAACAGTGTTCTAGGCGCGAAGGAAGTTTTCAACTCAAACTTATAGCCCAATTATTTGTATGAAATATTTAACAGTTGTTGTATGATAACATTGGCCAGCGCGGTCGTTTAAATTTCAACCAACAGCAATCTACTCGAGAAAAGCAGCTTAATTCAGCGTACAATCTTGAAAGAAGGGTTTAAACCTTTGAAAAATGCACAGAGCTTGTACGAATATACGACCTTAGAGATTCAGCAAGCATTCTCATTTGTATTTTCTATGCAGCATTACATATGGATGTACTGATTTGTGGAGATGTTTTAAAGTTGAATAGGAGTTATTTTTCCTTCCAGTTTGGTCGAAATTTATTACAAAATTCGTTCAAAAAGTTTGATATTGGTGATAAAAACTATTTAATTTTAAATAAATGTGAAAAGCGTAGTTATAAATAATCCTGCCGAGATTATGTTTCTGCTAAACTTACTTGAATTCTACTGGAACCAGTCATCAAAACCCACTGACCATCTGATGATGCTCCACCTTTAGCGTTAACTCTCCGTCGGGTGTCCTCCTCATTTTCGTCCATAAGAGGTGCTTTCGGGTGGAAAAACTCGATGAGCGGTTCATCTCTTTTCCGTTTGCCGGCAAAATTGTATTCGATAGGTTTCCGAACGCTACGCTTTTCCCTGTTATTGGTACTTTTATCAAGGCTTGGATCTCTTTTAGCTTGCAGGTATGTGAGGACTCTAAGCACTTCTTCCCGAAATGCTTCTGTTCGAATTTCAGTTTGGAAATTCTGGCGAAAATCCGATTTTGTCAGATAGTTTTCTCGGATTTCCGAAATTATTAATCTGGAAATAAGTGTTTCTTGGGATAAGATGCAGCTCCTTTAGTCGTGCAGAAATATACACGTATAAACAGCTTTTTAAATTATTAGCAAACTGTGTTATATTCGTGTGTTGACAAAACGGGCTTGTGCTTCGAAAAAACTGTTGCTTGCTTTGTATGATCATCTTATTTTTCTAAATATTATTTTGTTAGGATAACATGTTCCATATTTTTACAAATTTTTACGTTACTTATCGATAGGATACTCAGTCTCAAATTTTTAAATTTCGGTTTTACACGATTTATTCAAGAAAATTTATATCAGTCACTGTTAAATTAAAGTTTTTTTCATCGATCCAAGAAAAACGAAGTAGTGCGCTTGGARCGTTAAGAGAGACGTCCCTTTTATCTGGCCACTGAGTTACAAAGTTGTCCTTTGAATGTGTTAGATAATTCAGTCATGAAGACTAAACTTTAATGRTATTGACCAKATTTATCAAAACAAAACCCTTCTCCTGCAGCTGTAATATCAGTAGAAATATGTTCCCATCCATTCGCTTTATACTCGACTAAAATGATAAATTGTTATTTATCGTTTCAAACGACTATAACACAAATGTTCTAGTATGTGTAAATACATCGGAATGAACCCACATTTCAATTGTCGCAATTCACAGTTTCAACTCGTAAAATACATAAATTGAAAAATATTCAAAA